TTTTTCCCCTTTTGTTAATCTTTTAATTATATTATAGCCTATTATATATTTTGTGTGATCCTATTGATTTTATTCCTTTTATAAACTTAATTTCTGTTTTTCTCCTTTCACAGAAGCGCTGCAGGTGCATGATGTGACGATTGAATATATCCTCATGGTCGTTTATGCTGCTATTCGCGCATATAAAGCTAAAGCCCTGTACAAAACAACACCAAAAAATACATTCTAATCTGACTGGTTAATGATCGACTAATGAGCTTCGTTTGATGGTCAGGAATATAAAAATGAACAAAATGCTGTCAATCTACAATTCTCCACCGTATTTACTATGCTCTGAGCAAGTTCAGGTAACTCAAAAACTTGCGTACACGAGCTGAGACCAGACGTGAGATTTGATCGTAGCCACCGCTCACGTCCATATTGATAAATTCTACATTTTGCGTTGAAACGACCGTACGCCCAATTTTCTGTCATACGTTCGTTTAGTAAATGAGGCCCACTATGTAGTCACATGGTAACCAACTGTCACTAGTATTCACGTTCATGATGCAAATACTGCCAATGTGAGAAAAGCAAACTCAGGCAAAGACAAAAAAAACGATTTAAATGAGCACATAATGATGAATTACAAATAAAATGGTTTCTTGACATAATAGACTTATTAGGATTTTTGTTCACATACATGAAATCCATAATGAGCTTGTAACTTGCAATGGCTCCTTGTTTAGCTAAAAAAACCAAAAATAAAAACATGGTGTTAATTAAAATCAAAAAGCAGCACATAATGAAGTGTTTTGGAGGTTTTATTTTAGCTCTGAATGTATGGAAAGTGCCACAGAAAGGGCAGGAACTCAATCTTACCTTCATTGTCTTTCTCCATTTTAACAGTCAGATCAAAGAAAGTACAGTCAGATTTCTTCTCAACAGGTCTGGCGTAGTACAGCGTCAGAACCTGAAAACAGCAGCACGTCTCAGATTAGATGTTCAAACGCTTTAATCTTGCTGTTGACTGTATAAACGCTCACGAACACTCACTGAGAGAGTGGCTGTTCCAGTTCCTTTAGCAGTTACATTGAAGTCCTGGTTTATCTCCACCTGTTGAGTGAATGCAGACATACTCCAGTCATCAGAATAATCAAATCCATGATATAACAGAGATACCTAAAGAGTTCATTGATCAAACACTATTGACGTAGACAATAAAAAAATATGAATGACAAACGACAAAACTCCCATGATTCTTCATTTAATATCAAACCACAACAACTTTCAACTGAAATGAGCCACAAACAGTTTGAATCTAGAAGATGAGTTACTCCTCACCTTGTATGACCGAGTAAGATGCATATTATCTCTTTTAAAAGCCCATCTGACAGGTTTGCTTCTTCCTGCCACGGACAGCTCCACGTTCAGATTGAAGTTTTGCCGGTCCTTCACCTGCGTGCGATACTCTGCCACGGCCTGGAACACCATGATGGTCGCCTAGAAAAGACAGAAAAGCATTCAAATCCTGTCCTGCAGTGTCAGTCCTGCACTTGTTCTGCTGTTCATCACAGTCAAATGATGAGGTGTTAGTGTACCTGAGTGGTGCCAGATCCTCCATAGTGAGACTGCTGTCTGTTCAGCCAGTGCACTGCTTCTCCTGCTTTATCAAAGTCTTTGTCCTTCACAAGCGCCAGCACAGCATAAGCCGTCGCCTCTAGTGAGTGATGGTGCTGTCCAGGGACAGTCCAGGACCGACCGGCTGTTTCAAACACAACACAGCAATAGAAACAGGATTGTCTCAAGCAGCTGTCATTACACAACAAAACATCTGTAATTCTTCCACTATTTACACTTGGGTCGAAGCGAGCACTGTTGCAAAACACAACTCTTTTTGATGCCTTGTTGACTTGACTGACCTTCGTGTTGGGTGGAGTGTTTCATCAAGATGTCTTTATTGAGTTTGTTGGCATTGGCCATGGCGTAGGATGTCATCGCTACAGCGTAAGGATTGGTCAGTTGTGGAAGCCGACCTTCCAAGAAAGAAACAGCCTTCCTGATACTTTCATGCAGACTCTATAAACGTGTGAAAGGTGAAAATAATTTCTTAGTTCTGCATCCTTCAACATTCACATTCACAACTTCAAGTTGTTTCAAAAGCTGTACGAGAAGAAAGAAGATATTTTGAAGAAAGTTGGTAACCAAATAGTTGCTAGTCCCCATTGACTCCCATTGTATGGAAAATATACTATGGAAGTCAGTAGAGACCAAAACCTGTTTGGTTACCAACATTGCTCAGATTCAGAAGAAGAAATTATTTTTTATAGGTTTGGAACAACATGAGAATGTGTAAATGATGACAGACTTGTATGTCTATGTGAATTAATTGTTACTTCAGATGTAATCTGTAATGTTTATGGTCTTTTCAGGCAAGATAAGTGATATATTGAAGTTAGCCTACTGTACCAATAAAAACAATATTACAACACAACAAATTACATAAATAGTAAATAACTGTACAAGGTGAATTAAGGTATGTTTGCATATGTTACACATCAGAAATCTTTCAGATTCAGATTTCAGAATGAGCACTTTGTAATTTGTAATACATATGTTGAGGACCTCATCTGGAATAGGGAATAGGAATGTGGTGGCGTGGTGGCAACATTTTTGATAACGTCATGACCAATCCAGTTCTCTAATATGGATCAGTGGTGTTGTCACCTGTTAATCACCAGTGTTGTGCAGTAGCATTGCTACAAGTAATAACGCTACTAGTTTAACTACATGTCTCAATAGTGTGGCGATAGCGTCGCAGTTTTCTGAATCAAATTGTTTTTTTATTAGCGAAGCTCCTTTGTTGATCAAGTAGTGTGGTAGCGTCCACACATGCTACATTTTCTCAAGCATTTCTGAAGCTCTAGCTCTAATTGGAAATTCCATCTGATCCTGGCTCAACAAGTGATGCCACCTCCATACACGTACCTGTGTAGTCAACAGAAGCACTTCCGTATGACGGTGACTACTACTTTGTGTTTTACAACGGTTGACACACACACACATCAAATGCTATTTAGAGGAGATGTTTTTTTGCCATGTTGGTACTGTTTGGAGCAGATCTTAATTAATTTGCTACTGTGATTTAACTGAGATGAGTTTTAAATGAACATACAGTCTGTCTTGAAAATGTGCCCAAGTCTAAATTGAGCATACCCATGCAAAAGCCAAGGATTCCTGGTGAAAAAAAGAGTTTGAAGCAACAGATCTGCACGTGGTGAAACAAATTAACTTACACCAACTGATCCAGCACAGATCTCTCTGGCCTCTTGCATGGCAATCACGACAAAGGCCGTCAGAGAGGCATCAGCATCTTTGCCACGCACGTCACCCTGGAATAAAGCACAAATAAAGTATAGACTATCACAAAAACAGTCAGATTGTTTGTTTGTGTGTGTGTGTGTGTGTGTGTGTGTGTGTGTGTGTGTGTGTGTGTATGAGTGTGTATGAGTGTGTATGTGTGTGTATGTGTGTGTATGTGTGCGTGCGTGAGTGAGTGAGTGTGTGAGTGTGAGTGTGTGTGTGTGTGTGTGAGTGTGCTCCAAATGGGTGGGACTTGAGCTCCAAGTAGGCTGTACAAACCTCCTGGGGCTTTTGATTGATTGATTTAATGTCTTGACATTACATGTACATGACACAGAGTTACAGCTTGTGTTACATTAATGTCTACACCCAATCCAACCCTAAACCTACCCCTTACAATAATGCAAAAATAGTAATTATTGTTGTACAACGTGAGAAAAATTATGCTATATTGATGTGTGCATGCTGGCGGCATAAGACCCTCCCACTTGGAGGTCTCTCCGGGCTGCAGCGATACATACTTGGCATTGACTGGTCTAGCCTGAAAAATATGCTTTTTTTACGCTATTTGAGCATAAAGAACAACATTTATGATGCAGTTCAGTTCAGATTTTGTTGCTGATTTGAAATATGTAATTTAATTGTGAGTTCAGCAGGCAGTTTTTGAGGGAAGAAATTAGATTCTTACGTTTCACTGTTTCACAGTGCAGCTTACCTTGCACGGTGTAAGGAAAATGTGACTGGAACTAAAAAGTGAACTATTCAGTAAGATGAATTATTAAGAAAGTAATGCAATCGCAGTTTCAAGAACTTTATCCAAAAACCCAAGCACTTTTCAAACCCTGAAAACCCTACATTAAAATTCAAGCATTTTCAAGGATTTCCAGCACTCATACGAACCCTGGTGTTACACATTCAGTAACAATTTGTGCATTAATGTAGAATAAAGTGCAGTGTGCTGGTCTGGTATATAATGTAAATAAGGCAGATAATTTCCCCTCATGAAAAATCTTATTCCATATAGTCAGCACATTGTTATATTTTGTTTGTTTGTGCTGCAGATTATTTAATGCATTACTACTGGAAACCACAGTGAAATAAATCATGGGTTCATTCCATCTTTCTTTTGTGAACACAGATGGACACATTCAACAACATTCAATTTACCACCATCTCTCCATGAATTACAGCTGATTCCTCTTTAAAAGAGCCGTCTTGTATTTGTTTGTGGAGAATCAGCCACTTAAGGGCGCTGCAGAGCACATTCTCCTCTATAATAACAAGGTTATGGGCCATGCTGAAGACTTTAGCCACATATGCTGTCAACCTTCAACAGACAAGCAGAACAGAAATTATTCAAATTTAAAACAAATTAAATTTATTATTTCTATTAAAAATAATATGAATGTAATATAAAATGTAATACAGGAGAAAATAGGCATGAAACAAAAACAAGTAATGACATCAAAATCTCTACCATGTGCTGCTCGGTCTGTGTATCCATGCAGCATAGGATCCATCTGATTTACGGTAACCCAGCTGCCGCTGATAACCTTAATACAAAAAGAAAATAAAGAAAGAATATTTATTTGTTTATTATCTATGTATATGTTCTGCTTTTGGTCTAAAGTTTTCAAGGGTGCATCTTTGAGAGTGCTTTGAAATTTTATTCAAAATCATAGTCAGATTTTATTTTATTTAGATGTATTTATTATTTATTTATTTATATGGTGCTTTATACAATACAGATTGTTTCAAAGCAGCTTTACAAGAATACACAGGAAAAATAATATAATTTGATTCAATGATGCAAACAGAGATACATTCTGCTGTAAAAGACAATAATATTGTCATTGTTCAGCTGAGGTTAGTTTAGTGTTGATTTGGTTCCGTTCAATGTCAATAATCAGTAATATTCTTGAATATTTAGTAATCTTGATTTTTATATCTGCACTGTAAAAAAAGTTTGTTAAATTTACGGTAAAATACCGGCAGCTGTGGTTGCCAGAACTTTACCGTGAAAAATACGGTAGCAACATTTTAGGTTTTACAGAACTGTTTAAATGTACAGTGAAAACCCGTATTTCATTAACTGATACAATGTTAATATGCAAACCTTTGAGTTAACTCACTTTATTTGCAGAAACCGACTGCACTTAATTTGGCCAATTGGCATTTGTTTATAAAGTAATATTTATAATGCTTAAGTAACGCAAGCATATTGGTCTTAAGAACTATTTTGCTTAAGTCCATGCTTAAGTCCATGAAGAAAAACCAAAGTCATTAATAGCACCAATTAAACTCAAATCTCTTGCAGACAGCAGCAGCACACATTCATGTGTGCCTGAAATTTTTGAAGAGATTCACACCGCACCAATAATTACACAGCTACCGCCTTTTAATAAAACAACAAACAACATAACAGCATAACATCAGTTTTTCACTGTCCATCCTTGACTTAAACACAGGCTCTGCTCTCCAGCACAATGGTGACCCACAAAACACAACAGTAAGTTGACTGTTAGGTTTTACAGTATTTTGCTGTTTTCTTTTCTTGATTTTACGGTGAAATACCGGCAGCTGTGGTTGCCAGTAATCTACAGTTTTTTACAGTTTGCTTCTGTAAATTAAATTAACAGTATATTTCTGTTAAAAATACATCTCACAGTGTGTTTTTCTTCATCTCACTCATTTAACCCCTTTAATCCCACAGCAAAATCCTCAGTTTTAAAGAGCACTTATATGTGTCCACACTACAGAGTGTTGAAGTGACACTGAAGCGGTGATGAAGTTAATGAGATAATTAAATGAGGATTGAGCATTAGTGACGAACACCTGTTAACAAGCAGCACCACTGAAGGAAAGAGAAACAAGAGCAGAGAAACACAACTTACAGCCAAAGCCAAAGATGAAATCAACTGAAAATAAAACACATTAAATCGATCAAGATCTCAGCAGAGGAGGATTAAACAGCTCCACAAACAGCAGCAGCAGCTTCTTATTACTAACCAGTGTGACTTTATTTCTGTCGTATGTGTACAAAAGCTCTAATTGAGATTGTAGGTGTTGTACTTTCATTTGAAGTCACCACAATGGCGATCTGTGTTTGCTTTAGTTGGGCTCTTGAACATTGACTTTTTAAAAATAACTTTTCTTCGGTTGCTTTAATTAGCTGTGTTTATTTAACAGTTTTTATAGCAAGAAAAGCTGAAAGAATCTATGATCAGATAAAACCAGTGTTTGTGATGTCAAAACCATCATGGACTAGTCTGGTTTACTGATCCCACTTAATGTTTAATCTCTTATTAAGTGTGTAACATATAACGAATACTCTTGAGTTGCACCACTGACACTGCCACAATCATTGTAAAACATTCCTAAGCACCAAATGCACAAATACAAGCTTTGATTTATGGCAGAACTTAAACACACACAGACATCAACAGTCAGCCTATGAATCTCAAGATTGGTGACAATCAAAAAAAAAATGTCATGCTGCAATGCATGCTGGGAGTTTTGTACTGGCACCTAGCATGCATTGCGGCATGATTTATTTTTTTAATTAATAATAGTCACCATTGTTGAGATCCATGTTCTGATTATTGATCAACGGTGTCTAAACAGTATTGTTCATATATTGTTTTTAAATAATCTGTCAACATAACTTGAAGAAACATAATAGTTCCATAAAAAAAAAAAAAAGTTAATCAACCTGATCAGCGAATCAGATCATGACCTTATCATCATTTATAGTTATCAAAACTATTTCTGTACAGTTTCTTTCAACTCATCTTGTCAGAGACCAGCAGAGAAAACTTTAGTTAGGGTCAAAAGCCTAACTAAAGCAACCACTGATCACCAAAATGGTTAGACCAAACAAAACATTTTCAATACAATATAAGCCTCTGTTAATTCTCAAAAATGTTTTGTTGATATATGACAGAAATAAAGTCAAACTGGTTAGTAATGAGTGAAGCTGGTAATGCTGTTTGTGGAGTTGTGTTATCCTCCTCTGCTGTTTTATTTCGGTTGATTTCATTTAAGGCTGTGGCTGAAGTCTAGGTCTAGTGGACTATATAGTGAACTAATGTAGGGAATAGTGAATGAGGGTGTAGGGTGTGATTTCAGACACAGTCTATGAGTGTTGACTCTGAGGCTACTTTCTCGAAAACAAAGGTTAGATCTATTACAGTTATTACCGTATATTGTAAGGAAACTTACTGTAAATCATTTAACAGGTTTTTATTGTGGCATTTCTACAGTCTTTTACCATTAAAATCACGATAACTTTTTACAGTGTGTTGTGTGCTACTGACCTGTGCTGATATGGTTAACAGCTTCATCACGGCGCTCCATGCCAACAGTGTCCCACTGATTGGTGCTGTCCAGATAATGAGTGGCTGTGAGAGGTAGAGTCATAAGCATCATGTTCTCCTCTCCATTATCACGAGGCTGAACAATAAACCGCCCCATGAAGCTTCCACTGATGGCCTGCTCGACTGTCTGAGCGATCTCTTCAGCTGGAGGAATGTAAGAGGAAACACAGGCTGAGAATTCAGTTTATTATATTTGTCTGTAACACTCTCAACACTATGTGACTCGTATCTTGAAATACCTTAAAACAGTGATTGTCAATCTTTTTACAGCGGCGTACCCCCTGGGGCATTAAACATTCTTCTGCGTACCCCTCTCTTCCACTTAGACCGCAGTCACACCTTTTCTATTAAAGGACAATATTTGCCCCCTTGAATTGATTTACAGGTGCATTTTTTTACCTTTATAGAGGTCAAAGATTTTCTATCCTTATTAATTGTATCTTATGTCATGTTTAATGTCATATTCTTAACATTCCATTAAGTGAATTATTAATATAATAAATAAAGCAATAAATGATGGCTAATCGAAGTGATACTTGTAGACTTAAAAATAAAACCACCAATAGGTGGCGGCAAGTCACTCTCTTAATGAGCCAGGCGTCGCGTCATTCATTCATTCATTCATTCATTCAGTAAGGAAGCAAAATGCTGTAGTTATGAACGGGTTATTAATCACTGATTCTCTGCAGAGGTGGACAATCCAGGGGTCAGAAAGTAAAAGTCCTGCCATACGTTTATTGGTCCGTGTAACCCTTTGCAGTTCTTTGTTCAATTCGCACCATCAAAATGAACCAAATGAAAAGTTGGCTTCAAACTTTCATTTTCAATTTTTTTGGAGCAATTTACAAACGGATAATTGTCTCTCATTTTAATTTTCAATTTTAGGAGTTACGATTCTGATTTTTCAACTAACATAAATTACTCATTATTCTGATTTTCCACTTCTCTGTTTTGAGCTCCGGATTGGACCGTACCAGTGGCGGAGCGGGGGGTGGGGATTTGGATGTATTTACCCAGAGCGCTGTATGTATAGGCCCTATGCCTATGCATTGGCACGTCTGACCATGCAATAATTAATCATCAGACCTCCATTAACTGTGTTACTGCACGTTAGATGTGTGAGTGGAGTGTGCTTGATGATTATGAAAGTGTAATCCGCAGGTGATTTTTCAACTAACATAAATTACTCATTATTCTGATTTTCCACTTCTCTGTTTTGCGCTCCGGATTGGACCGTACCAGTGGCGGAGCGGGGGGTGGGGATTTGGATGTATTTACCCAGAGCGCTGTATGTATAGGCCCTATGCCTATGCATTGGCACGTCTGACCATGCAATAATTAATCATCAGACCTCCATTAACTGTGTTACTGCACGTTAGATGTGTGAGTGGAGTGTGCTTGATGATTATGAAAGTGTAATCCGCAGGTTAGAAGAGGAGCTGGGATACACATGCAAACAAGTTCAAGAGGTCCTACA